AAAGGGGACACCCCGTATATTATTTTTTCATTGAATAGCTCTTTGTGAGCTGATTTCAATGATATAAGGTTTTATACCTTTATCTTCAATAGTTTTGGAGAAAAAAAATAAATTCCGTTTTATCCATAAGAAATAATGAGTTAGAAAGAGATAGTTGAACTATGAATCGGGGGTGATAAATAGGCAACACATAATTTATTTAATGAGTTATCTCTCTCTAGTTCATTGTTTCTTATGGAGAAAACGGAATTTATTTTTTTTCTCCAAAACTATTGAAGGTAAAGGTATAAAATCTTATATCATTGAAATCAGCTCACAAAGAGTTATTCAATGAAAAAATAATATACGGGTGTCCCATTTAAAAAAAACACAACTTTGGTTAATATTCCAAAATTGGAGGCATCTGGTAGAAAGTATTTTTCGTTTTTGGATATATTGATTAATAAAGAAATTAGAAGGTCTTCTAAATATGTGCAAAATTTGAAAAGTGCCCTGTATTTTCTAAACGCATCAAGTTAGCCGTGATTTGTCTTCGCCATTGTTATTTTCCCAAAAAAAGAGGTCGAGAATGTGCTCCCAGATTTTTGATATCTCTGCTGGTCTTCCATATAGCCTATTAAAACATCGAAAATGAGCCACCCTGTAAACTTACTGGGTTTTAGGGTAAGGTTTGCTTCTCTTAGTCTCTGGAATACTTTTCTTAATTTTTGTATGTGTTCCTCTTCCGTTTTTGAGAAAATGATAATGTCATCCATATACACTAATACTTCCTTCAATTTTAAATCCCAAAAGACCAAATCCAAGAGTTTTTGAAACACAGACAGAGCATTACATAATCCGAATGGGAGGATGTTGAACTCGTACGATCCGTCTTTCTTGGTTACTAGTACCACTGGGCTTGTCCATGGGGAGTGACATGGCCTGATGATATCATGTTTTAACATTTCCTTTATTTGCTAGTCTATCTTTTCCCTTTCTAACTGTGATGCTTTGTAAGGGCGCCTTTTTATTGGTCTGGTGTCTGTCTCTATTTCAATTCTGTGTTTTGTTAAGTTTGTCTTGCCCATGTACTTTGAAGATTTTGCGAAGACATCATTGAACTCATTTAAAAGGTCTTTTAATGCCTTTTTAGTGTTTTCATCTATTATGTTTATTAAGTTATGGTCTTCCATTGTAACTCTTTCTTTATTAACCTCTAGCATATTGCACGGTATCTCTGTATTATTTTGATATTCTTCTAAAAAGGCTATTGTTGTTCCTCTGTGCATATTGGTGAGACGATTTGACTTGATTTTTATAAATAATGATTCTTCATTAATTTGTGTATATGTGTGATTCTATAGTTATTGCTTTTTTGGCTGGTATGTCGGTATTATATTTGCAGCGGTATTTTACGTTTTCTCTTATATTTTTTGCAAAATATACAGGGTGACTCAGAGTAAATTTCCCTTTTCGAACGCGCCCTGTACATCCAACTTAATATTTGTGGGGAGGTTAGCGCTGGCAATATGCGTCGCAATGCCGCGACATAGGAATCGTTTGATTTAAAAAACGACTTGACACTAAACGCGCGTTGCTTGTTCGACCACTGCTCTATGTTTACTGACAATCCGCACGCAGTCGCCGTAAATTACCAGCGCTAACCTCTCCACAAATATTAAGTTGGATGTACAGGATGCGTTCGAAAAGGGAAATTTACTCTGAGTCACCCTGTAGTTTATGGTTCTTGATTCCTGGGCATTCAGGGAGTGGTCCTCGGTCACTCCTAGTTTCAAGCTGCTTGGTTGCACATCTATAGATATGTTGCACATTATATTTTCTGGTTCTTGTATATATTTCTGGTTTTTCTGTATCAGGAATTTTATATTGGTGTCTCTACTGTCTTTGAATATTTCTGTGATTATCTGTTGCATAGACCTCCAGGTTCTACTTTTCAGTCCAATACTTTTTGTTGTATACAATAAGTTCTATGTTCTGTTCTAGCGCGTAGCTTTTTGTTTTTTGCCAACATCTGTATAAGTTTCTTAATGTTGGGTTTTATCTTGTCTGCCTTATATACCTACATTGGAAAAGAGCTATTTTGTCTCCCTGTGATTCTGTCGTTACTTGTCCTACTCTTTCTGGTGACCTTTTAAGATCCGGGAACATCCCTTTTATTTGTTCGTTTAATCCTCTAGTTTCCAAGACATGTAGCGAATCTTCATTTTTTTCCCGTTACTTCTTGTATCCTATTGTCGATTTCTTGTTGGGTTATTTAAGATAAATTTTGCCTGAATCTTCCGAACTTGTTTCTTATGGTCTGCTCTTCTTTTGTTCATCTCGTTTTTAGTTTAAGTGATTCATGGCTATACCTGATGGTGTTTCCTTCTTGATTACTTTTGTTTGACTAGTCTTAACGTCCTTTGTCCCTTTAACTTTATAGTGTTTCGGTTCAGATCTAGAGTAGCTTGGTTTGCTTTCAGAAAATCCATTCCTGGAATAATCGGGTACGGCACTTCATTGATTGCATTCATTTTGCACGTGTAGATTATGGCTGCTATCTGTATTGATGCCATTACTTCTCCTAGAATGGGTATTTTATGTCCCCCTGCTGTAACTAGTGTTACATTGGAGCTTTCTATCTTGCCTTTTCTTATCAAGTCCGCATTTATTATGTTATTTTGAGAACTAGTGTCTATTATTGCCATTTGACTGGAATTGTTCGCCCTTCTGTTAGGATGGCTGGGGCTTCTAATTGCGCCATCCTTGTACATTTGGGTGTCTTTGTCTACAAGGGGCCGCAAAATAACCGTATTTACTGCAGTTGTAACATTTCTGGCTGTTTCTGGAATTTCTCGGAGGTTAACTGTTTTCCTGAATTGACCTGTGTTATCTTGGTTTCTTTAGTAGGAGTCGTTATTTGCTTGGTTATTTGGCTTATTACTTCGTGAAAAAATTGTTTTGCGTTGCCCCCCTGCTCTGCCAGCCTTTTGAGTTGTTCGTATTTTAATTGTTGTGCCTGTTGTTTTGTTGCCTTGTTCCACATCCGTTATTGTACTGAGCTAAGTGTAATTTGTGTTCCTAGACTAATTCTGTTGTCTATACCCCAGGTTAAAGGATCCTCTTGAGTTAAACCTATATCTCTCCCTTGAATCGTTGTAGGTGTTTTTAACGGAAGAGCTGGATTTGGGAGCTGTATCAATCGCTACCGCGATTTTCTTCAACTCGTCTATTGTTGCAGGAGGTTTATTTGGTGTATTTGTGAGCCAGTAATAATTATAGTAATTCTCCTCTGTCATGCCTTTGCTGAAGGTATCTAAAAATTCCTCCATATTCATCACTTTATTGTAGTCTGCGTACCCTTGATTCATATATAGATAGTTGACCACACTTTCTTCTTCCTTTTGTTTTCTATCTTTAAATTTTTTCCTCAGTTTTCCTTGATAGTCGACGTCTTCAAATTCTATTTTGAAGTCTCTGGTGATGTCCTCCCAGCCGTTGTTCCTGTGTGCCTCTTTGTACTCTTGGAACCATAAGTTTAATGCTCCATCCAGAAATGTTTTGAAATATGCTATTTTCAGCGTTTCATCCCATCCATTTGCAATTGCTGTTCTCTCATAATTGTTTAGAAAGTCATTAGCGTTAACTGCATGGGTGAAAAGTTGTAGGGCTTATAAATTGAGGAATCGTCGCCTTTCTACTAATGTCGGTTGCGTCTTGGATTGTGATATTCGCCATGGCTGCTTGTATTTTCTAGTTTGGTGTTTTTTTGTCTGCTGATTTTTTGTTGGACGAATTTGTGTCTTCGTCTCGGAGCAACCTGGTTTGCTTCTACCACAGTTTCTTCTAGATTATCCTCAGTGTTGTCTCCGTGTTCTTCACTTACATATTTTGAGTAGTTACTTATTCTTGGTATTAGAATTTCTGTCCAATTTTTGCTTTGTTCTTAGCTGAAATATTTCGTCTGCAATGTGAGTGCTTTCAGCGTTCGGACTTATTTGCCTTTCAAATATTATTGGCGTAGCATCATTCTTGGAAATTTGGCAGGTTCAGCCTCGTATAATAATGACAGTATGTGTCAAATTTTTGTGTTTTACATAATTTCGTAAGTGTCGCGGTATCAAAATTCTCTAACCTATCTGACCAATCAAATTTGACACATTTTTCATTGCATTACACTTGGCTGCGTTGGCTAAGGGTTTATCCTGAAAAGAGGTTATGGGGGAAAATTTTACTACTAATAGTTAATACATCTATTGTTACACCTTAATTTATGTAGGAGACGATTGAATAGGGTTTACCAAAAATAGATCGCAGTAAATGTTCTTCCCTGGTGAGTGGTGGGCCATCATTTAACATTCCCTTGGAATGCCTATTTTAGGGGAAAGCCTTACGCTGTCAATAGTACCCAAACAGCCCTATGAAAATGTACCCTCAAAGAGCTTCCATAGGTCTAGGTTTAGGGCGTTGTGGGGCTTCTACAGCATGACATTTACCCTAGGATCTCAGTCGTACTGTAGGTAGCAAGTCACACCCAACTTGAAAGTCTTCAGGCCTTGTACCCTCGAGGAGCTTAAGGCTGTGGAGACTAACCTCTGCCTGACTGCATTGCGGTGCGCGTAATGTATTCAAGAATTATTGCTACCATCAGCAGAGTCAGTTAATTTTCTGTAGTACAAGCACCAAATTCATTTTATTTTTATAGTCTGTGGGCTTGTAGACATTTATGAATTGACAATAATTTGGAGTTTCCGTTTCAATAATTCGAATTGGCATTTAAAACCAGAAAATAATGGTTCTAAATATTCTACTTTTTGTTTAAAATTGCATTTCACCTTGGAATTTAAAATAAAGCAAAATTGAAAAACCATATAAATATGCAGTAATATTTATAAATAGAAGGTAAGTTGATTATCAACTTCATAAGAGACAATAACAAATTTAAAATAGTAATCCCTAAGCGGTTACAGAAAGTTCAAATAGCTTTCCTATCTGCTTAATTCTAATAATAAAAGACAAACCAAATTAAAAATAATTCTTTAATTATTTGGAAAGCACAGTCATTATCTCAATCATATACAAATTTCTCTGACTTTCAGGTTTTTTCGCTAACAAACTGGCAACCAGATCCCCAAACAATTGCTCAGGAGTTTTATCCTTCGTCTCGCTCTCTTCCGGTTTAAGTTTTTTCTCTTCGCCATAGCTGCTCACAGAATTTTGCCTAAATCTTTTATTATAATTCGGACTGGGAAACGAACTGTCGGCCATTTGCTGTACGGTATTTTCTTCTTTGACGATAGCCAGAAAATCATTTGAAGAATCGGTGTAAGAGTGATCCTCTAAAGATTCATTGCATTTTATGTAATCTGGATTTCTATAATTGTTATTATATCGGCTAAAGCCTGGCATGGAATCGCCAGAATATATTTCGTTTTGTTTCCGTCTATATTGTATAACATTATCCAGAAAACTTAAATCATCCAAAAGTTCCCATTTAGATTCGCCTTCTTGAAACTTGGCCTTTTGTCTGATGTATTTTTCTCTAAGAGCTTTCCACCGTAACATACAGGAATTAATGTCTTTGTGCAAACTTGAAGCGATATCTTCCCATAGTTGATTTTTAGAAGTTTTGCTCGGGTAACTGTTCGAATTTCTGTCCCAAATTGGTGAAGCTTTTTTGACCATCTCGATCAAGTGCTTGTCGAAATCTGTAGGGTCCGAATCGGACATTATGGATTGTTCGTCTTCGCTGAGGGCGTTTCCGTTCCACATACTGGCTCTGGGTACGATGTGGGGGTCCAGGAATTTCAGGTGGTCCACGAATTCCCACGCGATCGACTGGTTTTGGGCTTTTTCACGTTCTCTGAGGTACTTTTCGCGCAGGGATTTGAAGGTGTCTTTGCAGATGGACACTGAAAAAAAAAAACAAGAATAAAATTATGAATTATAAAAACTATAAACTTCCAAAACTCGAAATTTAAATTTTTGATTTTTTTCAATTTTGACGAAATTAGTCGAAAAAAACCCTAACACTAATTCCAAATGACCAGTTTTAGGAGAAAAAAATCCAAGGGGTGAACCGCTGATTCAGTTTTTGTACACAACAATGCTTAATTATTGAGGAATTACTTTGAATTTCCAACTAACTCCCGGAATTCCCCAGCAATGCCTTTTTGTTAAAAATTGTATTTGTCATAAAAATGCACAAGAAAAACAAAAAAAAACAGATACACATACTCGTAGCACACTATCAACAGTAGATATTTTACATGTAAATATACAGGGTATTACTTCTCATATAACGAAGTTAAGTTATTTCATGTAGCAATGAAATCCATGGATTATGTGTGTTTCTGAAACACATTTAACCATTGAAATTGAAGATCATGAAGTGAAAGTTCCAGGTTACTGACAGTATTTTGCCACTCCAACAGTAGGCATGCAGGCGGAGTTATTATATAAACTTAAAGATTTGTTTAAATTATGAAGTTGTTTTAAATGAAGCTGTTGAAAATCAATATTGGATGCTGGCTGTTAAATTTCGAGTAAAATATGAGACTTTTTTTGTTGCGTCATGTTACCGCTCTCCTAACTCAAGATCTAGCCTTTTTCTTGAATATTTGAAAGAAAAGTTCACCGAGGACATTTTTTAACAGAATAAAACTTATATCTTAGGTGACCGATTTTTAAAAAATTAACAGAGACATGATAAAACTGAAAGAGATAATACATGGTGCAGGATTCAAACAGGTAGTGTCTAAAGAAAATCGACTAACAGACAGATGTTCCACTGTATTAGATTACATAATTACCAATGATTTTGGAGCACCGAAAAGCAACAAACTTGAAGAAAACCTTGAGAACAATATTGCCTACACATTTTTTTCTTAAGTGGTATTCGTTATGAGTCATGACTATTTCACGTGAGATTTTGGAAATAAATAGAATGCAAAAAAAAAACTTTAAATTAAAAATAGGGCATTCCAATGAACTGTCAAAAATGGCGCCTGTCAATAGTTAGCCAGGGCAGACAAATGTTAAAGTGCGCAAAAATATTGGTAAAATACCTGCATTTCGTTGTGTAGTGAAATGAAATAGTAGGGGAGAACGCGATAACGTTAAATTTTATGAAATACCATCACTCAATCAAAAACATCCTGATAAAGTTAAGCAAGCAAGTTAGAAGACAACACTGGTTAAATACAATCAAACGTGAAGACTTAACTGACAGTGAGTTGAAATATGCTGTAGTTTCTTCGAGATATATGTATAATAGTATACTTATTACCAGGTATTAATACATTAGAGCAACTGAGCAACTATTATTATTAAAAAATGTATATTAAAATAACGCGTGTTCGAATGTGTGACACAATCAAACTGTGTGCCCTGACTTTTTTTGTTTTTTATTGGAATGCCCTATATCAGTTTGACAATGTAAAAAAATGGTCGTTGAAATACCATGTTGTTGGTATTGTAGGTAGCAATATTGTCAACTGAGTACCGAATTTATTGCCGGTGTAATACACTCCAATAATGAAATAATCATATATAGGCCGAGTTCGTTTTTGTCATCTTTTTCGTCGATTTCCTCCGAAATTTTGTCAGGCACGTGATTTGTAACTTGAAAATCTCTTATCCAGAACAATTTTGCCTACACAATTTTTTCTCGAGTGGTATTCGTCATGACTATTTCACGTAAGATTTTGAAAATAAATAGAATGCAAAAATATGAATAACAAATTAAAAATATCAGTTTGACAATGTCAAAAAATGGTCGCTGAAATACCATCTTGTTGGTATTGTCCAGGTAGCATATATTATATCACAAGAGCTTTAAATTTAATCGATTAAACTATCCAACATATTTTGTGCATGATTTTGCTTGGAAAATAGTTGAATGCACAATAGCCCGAGACCGCGAAGCGGTCGAGGACTTTTATTTAAAAGTTATTGTGCATGAAACTATTTGCTAAAAAGCAAAATTATGCAAAAAATATTTGGATAGTTTAATCCATTTAAATTTATAGGTCGCGTGGTATACGGCTAGATTATTTCTTGAATAATTAGGATTGAATTGTTGGCGTCAATCCTATCCAAAGAGTTCTATTTATTATAAAATGTCAGAATATTTCTATCAAAATGCTGTCAAAAAATGTAAACAAAAATTTAATCACTGATAAACAAGGTCTTGTGAAATAATCACTTATTTAAACAAAATTCATTCAAAAAATGACGTCTAATGGGTCTATTTTATAATGAATGGAATAATCTTAATGAAAATAGCTATCAAATGACATATCACTCGACCCCTCTTTTCATTTGAAATTTTGGGGGAACCTGTTACCCCCACTTAGGAGTTGACAGGTAGGGAGTGAAAATACCAATAAAATGTGCCCCAAAAAACAAAAATTGACGTGTCTGAGCGATTTTTGATTAAACACCTAACACCTGAGAAACTCTGGGTGGGAAGTTTTTCGTGCCCTACCTTGTATTATTATTATTTTTTTAATATTGTATACAGGGTGACATTTTAAAAACTTACAATGTCTATATCTCAGGAACCAAAAAAAAAATATAAAAAATCGCTGAAAACAATTTCTATAGTATGGAGGGGGAAACAAAAGTATGTAATAACTAACTTGTTTTCACTCACCCCCTCACCTCCAGCTACCCCAACTTAGTAATCTTAAATGACACCCTCCTACTTGTGATACCTTATCTGAAAGCTCTTAAAAAATGCTTTTCAATGGTACCCTACGAGCTAGCATTCGATGTAATTATTTTCAAAAGAAAACCATTGAAATGTGAATTGAATTTTTGACTAATAATTTAATAAAAATTTAAAAACATTTTTTTACTATTGTAGCATTAATCTTGAAGCTTAAAAATTTTTGGCTTGTATTATTTTTTGTTTATTCGTTGTTTTGGGAACCTGAAAAAATTGACAAGTCTAAAAAAATACAATTTTAATTCAAATGAATGAAGTTTTATTTACTCAATAAACCAAAAACAATCACACCGAATCCCAGCTTGTAGGGTACCATTGAAAAGCATTTTTTAAGAGCTTTCAGATAAGGTATCACAAGTAGGGGGGTGTCATTTAAGATTACTAAGTTGGGGTAGCTGGTGGTGAGGGGGTGAGTGAAAACAAGTTAGTTATTACATACTTTTGTTTCCCCCTCCCTACTATAGAAATTGCTTTCAGCGATTTTTTATATTTTTTTTGGTTCCTGAGATATAGCCATTGTAAGTTTTTAAAATGTCACCCTGTATAATACCCATTCAGCCGTATAAATAAAAATAGAGCATTTGCTTCTTAGCAAAAGGTAGAAGTAGAAGCATTCACTTTATCTAAATCATATGAATAATAAATAACTATTACTTGCAAGCATAAAGTCATTCAAAGAAATGAAGTAAAAAATACTACCTGTTATGTAGTACCTGTTGTTTCAATCTAAAGCCGCGTACAGATCGAATTTCCAACGTAGATCAACGCCAATGGCACATATGCTGTCGTTGGCATTGGACATTTTTTAAACATTGAAACGGATTTGAGAACATCGGCCACACCGCCGTACACACCAAAGCCAACGCGTTTCGACATAGTTCACAATGTGCCATTGGCTAGCGTTGGAAATTAGGTTTGTACGCGGCTTAAGGCTCGAGTGCCGAAGTAAACCATTAAAAGATCATGATAACATTACTGGACTTTGACATTTCATATGAAGTGGTTGTAAAAGAACAGAAATCATGGAAGAACGCAAAGCTACCACAAGCGGACAACGCATCATTGTGGTACAAAGTCACACAGATGGTTCGAAGCTAACCGAAGGAATCGGTCTCGGATTTAAAAAAAAAAAGTTTAAACTCTCCTTAACAATTGGTAAAACGCCCACAAAATTTCAAGCTGAGGTACTGGCCATAAACATATGTGTCTTTTAAGAGAGCACATTTACATACTGTCACTGTTCGACAGTTAAGCGGCTCTAAAGGCTCTAGGAGCTAGTAGGAGCCATCAAATGCAATTCTCAGCTAGTTTGTGAGGGTAAAAATATCCTTAAACAACTGGCTGGGAGGTATAAAGTAGCCCTGATGTAGGTATAGAGTAGCCCTGATGTAGGTACCAGGACACCAGGGCAACGAGAAGGCGAACCGTCTCACAAAGCAAGGTGCTTTAACACCTTTTCAAAAGACCCAGAGCCTTTTTGTGGACTCACGAAAAGCCACGTCTCCGAAGAAATGAACAGATGAAGAAGGTTCATACTTATCCATCTCAGCAAGGAGATCTGAAGAACTTTACATGAGCAGAAGAGACATTAGATCGTTGGTCTGCTCACTGAGCATTACGTGGTGTAATATCACCTAAAAACAATAAGCAAATCAGATAACGACCACTGTAGATCTTGCGAACCAGCAACAAAAAGTATAGTTAGAACACTTAATTTGTGAATTCCCTGCTTACTTTTGCAAAAAGCTGAAATACCTTGAAGGGGTACTGTTAACACCCCACGAGAAGGGCACTTTACCACCCACGAAGCCGGCCTCCTTTCGGAGAAGCCTATAAATCTTTGACACTAGAGCGGTTGGAACAAGCTGTAACGAATCCTAATCCAATTTACAATCTACAAAAAAAGGGAAGTAAGAATATTTGAAAATAATTTACCCAAATAGTAAACATACATCTGCTCTGGAGCAGATGCATTATGCAAGGAGTAAATGCTTCCAATCTGAAGCAAATACTCTGTTTTATTCATAAGAAAAAAAGTATTTGCTTTTTCCTGGAGCATTTGCTTCTGACTTTCGAGTAAGAGGTTTTGCTTGAACTTTTATTCATAGATGAAACAGATCCAGGAAAAAGCAAATACTACTCTTTTTCTTATGAATAAAACAGAGTAACTGCTTCAAATTG